AGTATTCAGGAGAAGAGAGGGGAAGATGTGAAAGTCTGATTTCATGCTTGGAAAAGATCGTCAAGTCATTTCCAAGGCCTGGGAGGGGTAAGAAAGTCTCTCCACAGTCTTGTCTGTCAGGCCAAGAAAGTCTCTCCAGAGTCTGTCTATGAGGAGATTCTGGAAGAAGAAAGGGTGAAAAATGCAGCTAAAGAGGAGCCACCTGACCCAGGGACCCCTCGATCTGCAGTCAAATGCTCTACCACTGAGCTATACCCCCTTGGCACAGCACCTTCACAAGGACATTTTAAAAACGTTCACAGGCAGAGACGAGTTTTTACATCCACTGTTTAGATTCCTTTACTTGACAGCCCCCTGTGCCTCATACTGTGCCTGCCAAAGGCTGTACACAGAATTACTGCAGAGACTCAACAACAGAGGCAATTACACAGAGACAGTGAGTTCTTAACTCACACAGTGCACAACCCCTGCAGTTTCCTAACAGTCAGGGCCACGGTACCTCCAACGCTGAAGCTCGGAAACCAATGTTCAATGCACAACACAAGCTCACAAGATCCCAGAGGATCTCTCCATCTTCTTTCTGTGAGAAATCCTGGCAAAAGGGAGGTGGAAGGAGAAGAAAAGAGGGGGCACCCGGAGTTGAACCGGGGACCTCTTGATCTGCAGTCAAATGCTCTACCACTGAGCTATACCCCCTTGGCACAGCACCTTCACAAGGACATTTCAAAAACATTCACAGAGAGAGACAAGTTTCTATGTCCACTGGCTAGACTCCTTTACTTGGCAGCCCCCTTTGCACCTTACTCTGACTGCCAAAGGCTGTACAGGGAGTTTAATTATGATAAATATCATTACTACAGAGAATCAACAACAGAAGCAAGTCCACGCAGACAGCGAGTTCTTACACAGTGCATAACCCTTGCAGTTTACCAAGTCAGGGCCTTCGTACCGTGCATAATGGAGCTCAGAAACCAACCTGCACTCGTACAGCACAAGCTCACAAGATCCCAGAAGAGCTCTCCATCTTCTTTCTGTGAGAAATCCTGGCAAAAGGGAGGTGGAAGGAGAGGAAAAGAGGGGGCACCTGGAGTTGAACCAGGGACCTCTTGATCTGCAGTCAAATGCTCTACCACTGAGCTATACCCCCTGCTGCTGCGCACCTGCCCAGCACAAATCTCCCTCTTCATTACTACTGCAGCAAAGCTCTGCAAATTCATCCCAGGAAAGAAGGCAGCTTCTCATGAAGTACTCATCTCTTTCCTCACAAACACCCCACTGACAGTCCTCCTCTCTTGTGGCAATCTGCCGCTTTACCTCCGGCCAGCACGCCGTCAAACAGAGGATGCAGCCTGCGACAGTTTATGGGAAAAGCATGGAAATAAAGAGCTCCAAACCAACCTTTTCTGGATCAAAAAGAGGGAAAAGGGAGGGGGC